CTCTCGCCTCAGTGAAGCGGGCCCTCGTCGCTATTTGTCGCCACACGCTATCCAAAACACTGCCCGGTGGAATAGTTGAGTTGTGTGCAAGCTGACCCAACCACTATTGTCAATTAAAAAAAAGGAGTTTCCAGATATAGAAAGTTGTTAATCTTCTTGGAGCTAACAAAAAGAAAGATTGTGATATAAAATGGACTAGAGAGAGTAATTGTTATAACTCATAGAGAAACTTCAAAATTCCTTAACAAAGAGAAAGGCATTGGGAGAATACTAAATAGAAATTAAAAGAAGGGCAGCCCGGTGCACGAAGCATCCCCGTTTATGCAAGGTCCGGGGAAGGGCCGCATCCCAACGGTGTGTGATGTAGGCAGCCTACCCTGATGCAAGCTTCAGTGGTGGATTCTACTGCTCGAACCTGTGACCTATGGTCACACAAAACCAACTTTACCGTTGCTCCAAGGCTCCCCTTCGCTAAATAGAAATTAGAATGTCAAAATGTAAAACCTTGAACTCTATGAAATTCTTGCAACTTTGAAATCCACTGGAGGTGCTAAAATGTTATTCTTCTCATGCACACAATGAAAATGATCAGAAATGTGAGAATCACTCTACTTATGTATTTGGCTTCAACAGATATGATTTGGTGGATTTAAGCAGACAGTCACTTTCCAAGCTTGCAAACCAGGTCTACTTGGATGCAATATCTGCTTTCCGCCGGGAGGATGCTAAAGCAGTGAGTCAGCATAGTCAGAAATTCCTTCAACTCATCAAGGACATTGACAGGCTTCTAGCAGCTGATGACAATTTTCTACTTGGAACGTGGCTGGAGAGTGCCAAAAATTTGGCTATGAATTCTGATGAGAAGAAGCAGGTCAGAACAGCTAAATGAAGATTCTTTTTTTATTTCTATGAAGAGCTAAATGAAGATTCTTGTATCTTCTATCAACTTGAGTAACTTGATTTAACAGGAAAAGAAGAATGAGAGTGGAGTTTGTTAAGTTGAAATAACTTAGCTGGTAGTGTCTTAGCATGTCCCTTGCCTTTGTAGAATAATAGAAAAACAGACGACGAAAAGAACCAAGCAAGTGAATGTAGCTTCTCCACCATTTGCTGGTCGTAGACTTTGTATGTAATCTAGTTTCATAATTTAGGAATTTATGGTAAACCCCCGACTAGACTTTCAAATTGTGCCCTCTCTGTGATTCAAATCATTAAGCTACATTCTTTTATCAGAAATATTATTACTCTCCTTCTATCGGACCAACCCATGATCCGTCTCAGGAGAAAAGCTTGCTCAGACAAAACACCTTCCATTACATTAGTAGGATGTTATTTTTCCAGCTTAAGGAAATGGCATGAATAGTAGTAGGAGATTTGCAAAATGTGACATAAGGTAATCCTCGTCCAGTAAAAACTCTCATTTATTATTTTTCAACTGATCCCGAGTTTCAAACAAACTTTCCATGTCTGATGAGGTTCAGTCTCATGAATCATCGTACATTAATAATGTAACGAGTTCTTCATGACTGTCCACTGATCCTTCAGTTTTTTTATTTTTAGTACGAGTGGAATGCTAGGACACAAATAACTATGTGGTTCGACAACACGAAGTACAATCAGAGTCAACTTCATGATTATGGTAAGCTTTTTTTTCTTTTCCATCACATTATTCGTATTCTTTATTAATTCATAGCGTAAAAATTGTGAAGCATTTTGATATTTTACTTCACTCAGCAAACAAGTTTTGGAGTGGCTTATTGGAAGCATACTATCTTCCACGAGCATCAATATATTTCGAGCTCCTTTCTAAAAGCTTGAAAGAAAAAGTGGACTTCAAGTTGGAGGAATGGAGAAAAGAGTGGATAGCATATTCAAATAAGTGGCAAGAAAGTACGGAGCTGTACCCTGTGAAGGCACAAGGAGACGCCCTTGCTATTGCCACTGCCCTATTTGAGAAATATTTCAGTTGAGATGAGATTATCCTTTTCCATAATCAAACATGAACAGAAATGGAAACTTTTTCATGATTGTACAATAATACCTTTGGTTATTCTTTTGTTTTCTGTCAGTGGATGATGTGTTTTCATAGAAAGGGTGGTTGGCTGTGACAATAATTTATTGGTCTGGTCCTAATCTACTAGTTTCGCAGCAGGTGGTTGCATGCCTCTCAAAGGTTTGTAGTTGCAGGTAATAATGGTGGTAATTATCTAGAGGGTTGTCTGTTAAGTGATAATGACTGTTCTTGGTAACTTTCAGCAAGGTTCCACCTGGACAGGAAGGTGAATTTCTGATTTCAATCCCCTCTAAAAACAACTTACAGTATATTATTCAGACAATTCCACGTAATTTTTGCACTAATAGTAGTTGTTCAGAAACAATATTTTCACTAGTTTATCCGATTTCGCATGGGAAATAATTTATCCAAGGCGTTTAATCCAAGTTGAGGCTCCTCAGAAGTAGCAATATCAGCTAATACCCACAATCCACAGAAGATAAAAAGTACAGAATAAAAAATCAATCAAATAAGGGCGTATTTCAATTGTCAATGTGTATACAGGTGGATAACAAACAGAGGAATGACCAATGATTATAAGACTACACACTTGAAAGACTGATAGAGATCCATCTCTGAAGAAGAAAAAAGAACTATTAGATTTCACTATAAACTCTACCTTTTTCTTTTTCCTCCAAGTTGAGAATGAGCAGCTGGAAGAGTAACTCTATTATACACGATGTTGTCTTCTAAAATTTCAGTATCAAACTAACATGAGATCCTAAACCAATTCCATCAGCAAAGGATCACCAGCTGCCATGAGTCTTATCAACTTAATAAAATCAGATTCACTGGAGACAACCAATGGGTGCACAGCAGGTACTTGAGCTGAATAAAGTTTTAACAAATTGGTAGATGGCTCTCCTGTCTTATAAACCATCTTATTCAGCAAGGTATCAAAATTCTGAGGTAAATCCATGGACATGAAGAACATGGGTACAGCAATTTTGTGGTGTATATCCAGATCACCAACTAGGTCTACAAGATCAATAAAGTCCTGAATGAAACGTTGAGGAACATAGAACACCTCAGAGCCGCACAAGGCGATGCTTTGGTCAGTTGGGCCATTCTCCTTGTAATTGACTTGTAGGTGAACTGGCATTGTGCTTACTACTTTCTTCACCATATCTGCTTGCTTTACAAACCATGAGGAGTCCTTCCCGTTGATCATGTTTCGAGATGTAGGCACCTGATTCAATTGTGGGATGAATATTTGTTTTTGGGATAATTAATTTCCATGATGCACAGGTCATATATGTTACCTTATTGGCGATCCACAACTTAGATTTGTCGGCTTGCAAAAGGTTCCAGTAGTTCAAGATTGTATTGTCCTGTAGGAAGAGAAATCCTTCTGTGCTATTAAATCTTTCGAATATCCTTGGAAGATACCTGAGAATGGATTTGAGTGTCAGCAACAAATGTACAAACCAGCTCCATTCACATGGAACCAATCAACCTTTACAAAAGTAACAAACAAATTCAAAGTACTAATTGTATTAAACACGTCTTATTATGAATTACAGAAAATGGCCATATAATAGAATGAAATGCGCAAATCAACATGAACCATTCACTCCCAGAAAAGGAATGTGTTGATACTAGAATATTTTGCAGAAGGACCAGTTTCATACAAAGGTGTCACTAGATTACCATAAATAGGACTTCAACATATTCTTCACTAAGGAATACTACCTATAACTGTTAGCCAGCTCATACAACCCCTGGGCTCCCAACCCAGCCTTTTTAATAAATGCGCAAACCTTTGCAACTTTGTCTCCTACCCTCAGCACATTGCTCCTCAAAATTCAATATAAAAACAATCTACATACAGAATACAAGCCTCAGGGAAGAAAGATATAGTTATAGACCAGAGGCAACCAATAATGTTACATGGAAATTCAGCCTTAGAGGCCCATTTCCACAAGATGAGTGTCGTAAAAATACAGATGTTAGGTTTTGGTAGTATGGTATACAAAATTGGACAAGATTAGAAATGATCACACTAAACAAATGATACAAGTAGCACACTTAAGGGATAAAATGACAAGGAAAACCGAAGATTGTTTGGTCATATCGTACATTTCCCAATACACCAGCCAAAGGCACCATGTTATGACGACTGAAGGTGCCAATGAAGGAAGATTGTCTCAAAAGACCAACAATGTCTTGGAATCAATGCATACCTAGTGAAGAATAAAACCTAATGGAAGCAAAAGATCCATATAAGTGATACCAACTAGGTCGGATAAAAGCTTCTAGTTGTTACACTTACGTTAAGTTTGGTATTTATCAGGAGTCTAAAAGCTCTTTCTAGACTGATAGACTATATACCAATGTAGGGATCACAAGTGCAAGATCTAGAGAACCTAAAAATGTATGACTAATGGAACCTCTAGTTGTAGATAACCCCTACTATGTCTTTAAGAAAATTACCTCGTATAGTGATGAAATGGTTCCAAATAGAGAAAAAAGTGTATAGACGATTCATATACCCGACCAACTTAATGGGTTGAGACATAGTTGATAGAATAGTTTGAAAGCTGGAGGGAGAAAAAAAATTCCATTTAACGAAACATGTCAAGTTTACTTGGATGAACCAAAAGAGAAAGTAGGCCATTTTTTCCTGGAAGGGAGTGTATTTTCAGTGATATCAAAATGCATGTATCGAAAAATTAGCTGGTTATACAAAATATGATGCAAAATGATGGGAAGTAATACTTTGTGTTAATCTTGAGAAGACATGCCATTAGATGGCAATACTAGTTACGTACTACTTAAATTCTGATAGGGTATGACTATGGTCACTGTATAAAGTAAATAATGATTTATTTTTATGAAAGTGTAAATAGAAGATAATGATGTCGTTAACTTACTTGTATGCTTGATCCAATTGTCCACGCTCAACAGCAAGATCTGCATCAGCTTGTGTTGACAGTATAACCACAGTTTTGAAGATCCTGCCATATAACAATCTCCATTCTAATGCGGTTTGTTGCACGGGCCCAGTAACAAACATAATTAGCACAACATTGCCAAAATTCTTCCTCCACCTTATCAAGTTCCCAATTTCGTAATTTACTGTACCTGATTCCTCAGCCCCAAGATGTACAGAAGGTAGTTTTCGGGGGACAAATTCCTTTTTATCTCCATGTTTAACAGCTGCCTTTTGCAGATCTAACTGTACTGCCATCAGTCTTGGCTGCTGATACCCAACAGCGGCCAAGTCTTGCAACCATGCAGCTGTAAGTTTGACGTCATTCTCGCTCCAAAACCCTTCTAGTGCCATTGAATGGCTCAATTCTAAGATTTTCTCAAACAACCTTTGTTTTTCAGATTTCCAAGAAACTAAAAATCTGATTAAGCGACCCACATTTACATGCAAATCTTTTTCGTCTGAAAATGGATATGCTTCAATATTGTCATCCCTGTGTAGAGTAGGAGGATACATCACAACAAAGCTGCCAATCTCCCATAACAACCGTTGTGCCCAATAACCTCTTAAGACATCAGAAGCCATGGTGCTGACTGACACTGGGAGCATCAACGACCAAAACGCATTATAGTGAAACAATGTGTTGAATGAATTGATAGGAACCATTAGGCCTTGAGGCAATGCCACTTTCGGGGCATGTTCATCAAATATAATATCAAATGCTTCTGACCCAGTCTTTCTTGTAGAATAAAAAACTGAATCAACATCAGGTAGCCCATTTGATATTCCATGTTGTATGTATTGCCTTCCTCCCGACACTTCAGTATAGAACTCTTCATGATTTACAAAACCAACACTTTCCAGTGGCAATCCTCGAGGCCAAACTGACCTTTGCCCAAAATGTATATAAGGATTGACAACAGTCTTATTCTCAATCTCAAGACTATACTGCAAAATCCTTTGCTTCTTAGCAGTGGCACCATCCAATTCCAAATCAAAATGCTTCCCAAGATCCCCACCAATCACTTCCCCACGATCATCAGCATCAAATATTCTCTTTGCACCATGTTGGATTGCAAAAAGATACCCCACGCTCTTCCTCACATACGAATCATAAGGAAGGAAATCCACCACTCTAAACCCCAAACTTGCTTGTTGCTCCAGAGAAAAAAAAATTGCACCTTTCAAGCTCCAATCTTTTGGGGTTCTTGAATTGCCTATTGCAAGAACTTGCCAACCCTTTAACCTAACAAGACTTTGGAGTGAACTGGAGGGGTAATTTGATACAGATACAACAATCCATTGCTCTGAGCGAAACGACGAAAACGGAGAGGACTTATCTAAAATTGGCTTTACTGAATCAAGATCAAGTTTTGGTAACTCTGGTTTTTTAATTTGGCTTTGGTGAGAATTCTGGAAGCATAGGAGTGAGGAGGGTACACTGGAAGTACGAAAATAAAAAAGGGCTGCCACACTAAGAGTCAATAATGAAATAACAGTGAGTTTCACAGAGTTCTCAGATACCCATGTGGAAAAGTCAAGATTTTTAGTCTCAGAATAATGTGCAGCTTTGTGTTTCAAGAAATGGGGTTTTGAAGGTTTAGGAGATGAATGATCTTGATTAACCATCATTAAATCAAAGAATTACCTCAAAATTACAGAATATAAACTAATTTCTGAAATGGGTATTAGCTTTAAAGCTCATTGATGCAACACCCTCTTCTTCAAATCAAATAAGAAGAAAATTTACAAGATTTACACAGATTACTAACTTGAACTGATGTAATTGCTATACTTTATATGGATAAAATTAAAAAGTATATTCTGATCTGAGACTGTGAGTCTCACCTTTGGCAGTGGAAGGGGCTCTTGAACTTGAATCACAGCTTCACTCAGTCAGTCAACAGGGAATACATACATCCAGAAACACACACTGAGTCTCTCTTTAATCGCCGACAATTTTGTTTGTTAACATTTCATATTCAGAATTCAATGAAATCACGCGCGCGTGAGATTCACAGCCTTGGCTTGTTTTCTTGTTATTAGCTCGCCTCGTATCAATCATTGGTGAATTTATACAATATATATTGCAACATACCGTAAGAATTAAAATTTTATTAATGAAACTGATTTTAAAAGTAGAGATAGTGTTGTTTATTATTATTACTATAAATAAAAGTAGGTTTCCAAATACTTCTTGTATAATAGAATAAACAAATTTGCCTTTGAAGTTAGTGAATGTAATTTAAGGAACAATTTAAATGAAACATGAGAGTTATTTTGGAACAAAAAGTGTTTTTAGTTGGAGTGGTAAATAACAATTTAGTATAGTACTTAATTTATGAACCTTCCACAAATTCTAATGATTCAAGGTCGAATAAATAATTTGAACAGTCTCAACAGTCTTGATAGGATGAAGATATTGATCAAGTTGTTTAAATACTAAACCAATTAATCTCACCTACTCCGTGTTATTGAGAAAGTCACCTAATTGTAAGACAACTTCTTTTGAAGTAACGAGATAAGCGAGTTCTAGATAGTTTTGACACTTACAAAATTTTGTGAAGATTCACTTAATACATGATATCGCTTGATCGAAGTAGAGTCTAGTAAACCAATTTCAAACAATAAAATTTAAAAATAAAACAATAATTTTCAAGAAAAGAACCTCTATTTGAATTTAAGGTGAATATGTGACTTATTATACTAATGGATGATTTTGCTTGTTTCTTAATATGCTTGTATCTAAAGAAAAGATAGCACTTTCTTTAGCATTTGTAATGTGAAGTTGATAGATCTATCGTGGAAGCCATTGGCCAACCTAAATTCATCTAACCCTTTAATGGAATTATTAAGTACTCATTATAATGTAAAATGTTTTTTCAAATTAAAAAAAAATCAGTACATATCAGCACTAAAATATGCCATATATAGTAATACTAGAAGGTGAGGCACTAATATTTGCCTGTTAGTTGAAGCAAGTCACGTTAAAAATAAATTCAGATACTTGGAGAGGAAATTGACTTGTATTAAAAATGAGACGTAGAGGAAATTGAGTAAAATATTACTCTTAGAGGAAAAAATTCAATTGTAGGAGTCAGAAACTCTTGAAGTAACTGCAACATGTTACTATATACAAGAAACACACATAACGAAGAAAACTGCGATCAGAGTAAGTAATTGAAGTGCTATATGTAGAAGAACATCGAAAGCTGAAAGTTGAAACTAAATTATGTGAGTCAGGATCATGTTATAGTGACAACGGAAAAAGGGTTTAAGAAAAGTTTAAAAATACTCCTCATCTATCTGTTGGGCTAAAAATACCTCTCTATCCACTTTTTTGGTTCACTTATGCCCTTTGACCGTCACGTCAATGCTGAATTAAAAATAATAAGTATTTAAATTTCACGTGGCAATTTCTTATTGGCCAAAATTAAAACATCTAACCTATTAGAAAGACCCACCCATATATCTACCGGTTTTTCATACTAACCCGACCCGAACAAAAAATTCAACTAAAAAAAAGAGGCTCCACTTCTATCAAACTCCATGGACAAAAGCTCCATGGAAGTTGCAGCGAACAGATTGACACAAATTTACTACGTGATTTTTTTTCTTCTTGTTATGTCATCCAGTTCAATTACACAAATTGCATTATATTCAAGATGAGTTTAATTTAATTATTTTCACATAACGGAAAGATCTCAAAGTGATTGCTCGGAGATATCATAAACCGTTGGACTACCCCTAGTTTTTCATCCCACATTATTGTCAAAAAAATCATTGGTTCATTCATGCTAGGCTTTTCTTGTTTGTTTAATGAGATTTTTGCATACCTATACACTATTGGAAATTTTATTAACAAAATTATCCATGTTTTGTTATTTATCCGACCTACACAAGTTTTGCTTACAAAATATATACATTCCACCTTAAAAAGGTTCTTAATCCATTCTTTGTGCTTTCAATCAAGGGATTTAATTACACTCTTTTCCTTTTTTCTCTACTCTCTCCCCTCTTCTATTTATATTTAGGGATTTAGAAAATCTAATCATGAGATCTAGTTTTTTTGTCCTTTATTGTGCATCATCACTTTCTCTATACGAATATTTGACTTTTGGTCGGTAATCACTTACGGAATAGTAGTAATTAACTAATTATTCATTAGAAATTGATGGTTTCCAGTTTGAGGACATATTTGTGTGTACCATCTGTTAATTAGCAATGTGCAGTTTGGCCAATTTCCATTCCCTTGCCCCATCTCTAGTTCTTTGCACAATGGTTCCATGTAATTATTAGAAACATACTCGATGGGGTAATAACTTGTCAAAATAAAATATTAGACTGCAAAATTCATTTCTATTTCTGCTGTAATTCAACGTAGAATTCTAAAGTGGGTTATTGTTACATTAGATCGTTTAAACACGATGAGCTACTGTTTTCTATCTTTAGCACAATGAATGACTGCTCAGTTGCTTCCTTTTTAGTTCTTTTTCGTTTTCTTTCACTTTAAATGAGTTGACTTCCTTTGCTTAACAGTCCACTTAAATACAATTTTTATACAAAATTTATATAATATGTTTTTGTATATTTTATATCTGATTTATACATAGTAAAAATAAATTTCATACAACTAATTATATATTATACAACTTATTTACAACTTTCGTACATTATTTCTACCTAGGGCTGTTCACCGACCCAAACCGAAAATCAAACTAAACCGATTAAGTAAACTGATTTTTTTTATTTGGATTGATTTTGGTTTTAAATTTTAAAAACTGATAATATTTGGTTTGGTTTTGGTTCTATTATAAAAAACCGAAAAATAAACCGAACCAAACTGATTAATGATATACAAAAATTAATAATTATTTATATACAATATAATATCTTTTTCTAAATAATTTTAAATATTTTATGCAATTTAATTGTTATTTTGAATTTTGATTTATCCTACTTATATCTTAAAAGATTACCTAAGCCCAAAGCAATATGAATCGGCCGATTTTCTTTTCCTTAAGAGACTTTAATTCTCTAACCCTCCGTATATACTTTTGTCTAACAAAAGAGTTAAAAAAAAATCCTACCATAAGAGTGAAGAAAGCAAACTCAAATTGCAGGACTACAGTGGCTAAAGCTTGAGAAAGCAAACTTTAAGTTTGTTTTTTTGTTCATTCTTTTCATATAAAGAGGTAAATAAACTTTCAGTTCCGAAAGAAATATATAAAAAAGTATAAATTTAGCAAATTATTTTCAGATTATTGTATAGTGTTGTTTCACTATTATCGACTTATTATTAGCTTACTAAGAACCGAAAAATCGAACCAAACAAATAACAACCAAACCGATGGTTTGTATTTAATTTGGTTTGGTTTTGGTTTTAAAATTTTAAAAACCGATTAAATTGGTTTGGTTTTGGTCTTAATCAAAAATCGATCAAACTGAACCGTGAACACCCCTATTTCTACCCAGTTTTATACAACTACAATATCATACTACTTAAATACAATTTTTATACAAATTTTATACAATATGTCTTTTGTATATTTTATATATAGTAAAAATAAATTTCATACAACTAATTAAATATTATACAACTTATCTACAACTTTCATACATTATTTCTACCTAGTAATATACAACTACAATATCATACAACTTAAATATAATTTTTATACAATATTTTTCAACTTTCATACAATATTTCAATTAAAAATATATATATAAACAACATAATATAATTTTTCTACAATTTTACTACAACTTTACTACAATTTCTGCAATATAATGTATGTCATGTCTTCTTCTTCTTCTTCTTCGAGTTTCAATCTGAAATTCAGCCAAAATCAAGTCTAATCTTCACCAAAACACCCTCAAAATTGAGATATAAACTCCAAACAATATTCCCAATTGTTTGCAACAACACCAAATCCAAACAAATAATGGTTTTTGAAAACCCAAATTCGAATTCAAAGCTTCAAAGCTTTTTAATGGCTGTCAATGGTGGAATTGCTGCTCTCTTTTCTTTTGCTCTACATTACTGGAATTAGGGATTGAGAGATAGATAGAGAAGTAGAGAGAGAGACAGAGAGAGTGCATGGGAAATAATTAATTCCTAATATAAAAGGATACTTATTTAATTCCTAAAGTGTATATAATTTATAAATTTGTGTATAAGAGGTAATTAAATTGAAATTTGAGTAGGGAGGATAATAAAGTTTCAAATAGTGTATAGATATGTAAAAATTCCGTGTTTAATTTGGTCATGAACCTTTATTCGATGATAATGCTATACATGAGATTAATCAAGAAAATAAACACATGTATCCATGGGTTAGATGGAAGTGGGGCGTCTTTTTTTTTTATTTGAACGTTTTATTCGGGTCATATTCGGGGTGGGTTAGTCCGAAAAAATGGGTAGATATGAATGGGTCTTTCTAATATGTTAGTAGATGTTTTAGTTCGACCAATAAGAAGTTGCCACGCGGAATTTAAATAATTATTTTTTAAATTCAGCATTGACCTAATGGTCAAAGGGTATAAATGAACCAAAAAGGTAGATGGAGGGGTATTTTTAGACCTTTATCAATAATTCAAAGGCATTTTTGACCCTTCTCCGCGGTAAGAATGAAATCACAACTTTCAGCATCTCAATCGACAATATCAAAAGTTATATATATACTGATAAAACTAAGTTCCAAATAAGAAATAATCGATGAACAGAAGAAATGCGATTGAAAATCAACTGAACATAGTTATCTTTTGTATTGAATATCATTAGCACTGCACTTGTCACTCATGATACCTTTCTATGATTTTACTTCTAATAACAAATGTATGTATCTGCAATGAATTTCCTTCAGAATGAATTTCCTGGAGACTATCTAATATCCTTTTTAAGGAGAGGAATTGCATATGTGCAACCGTGGCAAGTTCCTTTGCTCCTTTAGTGCTTTCTCTCCATCACACTGTTGATGGAAAGGCCATGTACTGTCTTGTTGACGGATCCAACCAAACCGAGTTTATCGGAGCTTGGATGGCAAGGTCTGTCAGAGTAATTTTTATTCAGAGGTTCATTTAATCATAAGATAGCCTCTGGAAGTCCCAATTTGCTGTTACTAAGGAAGAGTTGTCGCGGAATATCACATTTGTGGAGGCTTGAGACAGTCTCAGCTTGTGTCAATGTCAAAGATCCGGTTAATGCTAGCAATGGTTCTAACAGAAAAGCTTGACTCTCATTCTTCCTTCCATCATCCTTTCTCATTTCTTCAAGTAAGGCATTGGTAGTGTCTATACCTGCTCAAGATAGTAATGCAAAGAAAGGAAAGAAAATCATGTTTTTGTCCAATAGTTCATTGTCAAAGGAATTTATTTGAGTTGAACTAACCTGAAAGGTAACCTCCATGGACATAGCCACTAAATTTTTCACTTGTATGTTCTCCTGTGAAAAATATCCGCCCCACCGGTTCCTGACAAAAGAAAGAATGTCATTGCAACAAGAGCATAAATGAAGCGGTTTCTCAAAACATAGTTTCTTCTCATACCTATATTTATTTAGATTGGACACTGTAAATTACTATTGCTAACTGAGAAAAGAAGAAGATTGCTAACCTTAATATCATGGACGAGTTGATGATTTACATATATGGGGTAATTACTGTAGCTGCCACGCTGAAACCTATTATTCCACCAACGCGGGACTAATATGTCGGTGGCATCGGGGATGTCAGGCCCAAACATGTTTCTTAACACTTCCATTGCTTCTCTTAGTGTTTCTTGATCAGATTGAGATTCCACACGTTTCGACTCACCATTTGTCAAGGTTACCACCAGAATATTGGAGCCCGGGTAAGCATTTTCCATGTGCTGATAACATCAAAACAGATCAACAGCCAGCAAGGGTTAGTTTCTCAGCCCATAAGAATGACTGGATGATGCATTCAGCAGCAATACTAAATTACAGTGAATAAGTCCTCCATATAATAAAGCTAGTTGAAAAAAGCACAATTGAAAAAAATATAAGCCTGAGTCCTCCAAAAGCACAAGAGTACTTCTGTATTCTCTCAATGCGATGTCATAAGATTCAAAATTTATATGTAGTGTATATGATATGTGGTGCAGAGGCCAAAATTCTGCTCAGATGAGTGCACAATTGTATAACCAAGAAAAATTCTTTATGTCAAAATCAATGGATGGAGACGGATCGAGCACTGCACTAATGCTCACATAAGTAAGTGGTAATCAGGAAAAATATAGTGCACGAGAAGGATAGACTTCATTGTTAAAGTCATCAAGAACTTAATGAGAATAGTAACTGGAATATATATAAACTCCAGGATAAGAAGAGCATAAGCCTAGCCTACTCGGCTAATCAGGGGGAAAAAAGGTAACTGATTCTAATCCTACAGATAGACACATTTAGATAATTTGAGCTACCCCATAAACTGCACGTCTTATGCCCGAGAATAGCAATTGTAGAACTGCAAAGCTAATGCAAACACACTGCATAGTAGAAATGCTGAAGGTGATGTACATCTGAATTCTGATTACCATGACATAATTGAATATTGTGATAGCTAGGTCAATTGCCAAGTAGTAGCGCAACGACCCAACCCAAATAGGGAAAAAGAGAATACAACAACAACAACAACAAACCCAATAAAATCCCACGCTATCATTAAGATGCATGTGACCCACACGTATGGAGGCCCAGGATTATTTGTTGTTAATAAAATGTTAGGAGTACCTAATATGGGCCACATCATCACAAGTAACGACAAAATTGTATATTATCTTAGCTAAAGTACAGTTCTTATCATCAGTTTCCTGCGTTAATCCATTCATTAGACAGACAAATTAGGGCTGTCACACATGGTTTTGTTTTATTAGTAAATACACATAGAATGAGCTTGACTTCCAGTTCCAGATTCCTAATGGTGATTAAATATATGGAAATAATAGATTAAACTTGGAGCAAAGTCAATGTACTATTGAGCCCCTAAGAATACTACTTTAAGGCAGTCATTTTGTAGCAAAGGAACAGTCAGTATCTTTGAATAAAATTATATATCTCTTTGAATAGAGAAGAGAACATGAAAAAGAAATCCTCTTATCCCTGAATGTGACAGGACTTGCAGAAAAAACAAGATGAGGAAATAGTCCAGATGCAAGTAATGAACCAAAAGAATACAGTAATGTGTACTAGAGTTAGAGATATGGCAACATGTATTATAAAGACATAACATTTGACAATAAATTGTGCAGACCTGCCAGAAAGTGTAGTAGCCTCTTCGCTCGTGGGCGTAGATGAAGAACTCCTTCTCAGGTTCACAAGGCCAAAACTTATAAGGGAATTTGAGAAAGATCTTTGTATAAACCATCACATCCAAGTTTCTGATGGCTTCCATCTTCCATCTCTGTTTCAATTAATACAGATAAGAGCTTAATTTTAAAAAGCAGAAGAAAACTACGGTACTAAAGGTGAAGCTGATATCAGATGTATGTGTAATGGACGTAAAAAAGATAAAGAACTACGTATCATTTTCATTAATAATTTGATCACAAAACAAATAAAATTTCGCTACACTTTGCTTGTACAGTGTATCAATTAACCTTGTTAAATCAATCAAAATAAAAGGTACAGCAGCCAATCACCTCAAAAGCTACAACTTATTTATTTTTATTAGCTACAAAATTATGCTAATAGCCATTTCTAATAACTGATGATAAGCAACTTCACTATCTGCAATTCTTTAATATATTGGTGGTTTTACTCCAATATATTAAAATAAAGTAGTTGAGTGTTCATGATAGTTTAGGAGATTAATACTCCTTTATAAGACTAGTCTAAATTTGACAGCACACAAGTCACTAATCCTATTGTAGTAAATCAAGTATTCAAACCACTCCTAATTAAACCATTGAAGCTCTTCTTAAATCAATATAACATTCATATGCACAAGATAAGGTTGTACAGTCTGCATCCAAGACATAAACTACCCAATGTAGAAAACTGTCCAATTTAACTTTTCAGCAGTGAAACCACATCAAGGGCAACAAGGAAACAAGCTGTATATCAACTGCAAATTCAGTCCAGTAGTCCACACTTGGCATATAACCACTTAAATCATGAATCTGAAAGATCGGTATCAGTGGAGACCATTTCAAATAACCAAGTCCAGAAATTAATGTTGGGTAGCTCAATGTCTAGAAATGCTGACCTCTTCAACATTGTTGGTATTTAATATACTACAGGGTCAGAATTTGCAGGTCACCAACTTTAGGTAGTCTAACCGGGAACAGGGGACCCATATTATATCCTAGCCATAGCCTCAAGCTATCACATTATTGGACTGTAATAAGTGCGATGCACTTTTTGTGAGCATCAAAGGCTCAAGATCTCAACAATCCATCCATGTGCACGTGAAGCAAATATCTATCATTTCTTACACCTTGTAATCTTAGGCATTAAATTATAGGGGGTGGACATAGAGGTAGATCTAGGATACCAATTTGACGCCTTCGACCTTTAAGGCTCTTACACTAAACTGACATACTTTTCATTTTAGTAATTTTTCTTACACGGATCGTATATATATATACTTATGTTTTGTATCAANCAATGCTAACAGACAAAATCACGTAATTGGCTTCGTAAAGGGAACCATCTTCTGTTGACACCAAGACGCCGTTTCTCGAGTGCTGCACTTCCCGAACAACCTGCCCCATTTCCGTAAATTGTGAATTCTAAATTACTTTACCACACCAAAAATATCATAAATGTAGCAGCATTTATTCAGATGTAGGTATTTCAAAATCAACACAAACAACACAGTGGCCTAGCCTAGGCACCCCTATAAAAGAGACAAAAAACCAATCCCCTTCATAAGAATCTGTACAAAGTCAAACTACACTGATTATTTTGAATCAAGTTTTCTATAGCAAGCAGGGGCGGAGCTACCCCTTTCGGACGAACCCAATAATTTTTGTGCAAATTCTATATTTGTTTTGTGAAATTAATAGAATATGTATAAATTATTATTTCAGAACCCAATAACTTAAAAGAACTGTCCTAGTTCCGCGGGCAAAGGAGGTAAACTGGTGAAGGATCGTAGCCTCTTTGCTGTATTTAGTGGATCTTTGGACCCGCATTTGATTGCATTATATAAAAGTGGCTTTAGCCTCTAAATTTTGTTAATTTCAAGAAAAATTAACATGGTAAGTAATGTGTTGAATAGGAAAGTTCTCTCTTTTATGGTACCCATTATAATGATTAGGAACAAGTCTTTATCATTTTAGCTCTATCATCGTATCAAATCAATCCACAGAAAAGAGAAAACTTCAATTTGTATAAATCGAAAATCACTTTCTTAGGTTCTTTCATTTTCCTTTTACTTGGCTTTTCCCTACCTTTTAGTTTCCTTTTTCATTTTCTGTTTTATATCTAGTCAAGGAAAATCTTCCAATACCAAACTGCCTCGAGTTACTTTTAAGAGGTGATGAATCTTTAAATTATTACAACTTGCTTTTTACTTTAAATAGGAGGTAAAGCACATTTTAGGAAGATTTTTCAATTAAAAAGATAATAATAGTAGTATAAATAGTCCTTGGAATTGGAAAACGTCCTTTTCTGCAGACTCTTGGTGGGTCAATCAATCTTAACAGAACAAATTAAATAAAGATAAATTACTCCATGCATAAAAAACAAATCTTTAAACCTTATCAGTATCATTTTCTGTTCATCAACTTTGCCTACTATTTCTACAGTAGTTGTAAATTGGCCCATCACGAAACAAAAAACGTATATATAGTAAATATTTATATGTCATCTACCAATATCAGAGAAATATAAATTTTACCGTGTTGAGCTTGAGACGGCTGTCCGTAATTTTACCCTCAGAGGTAAAAAGGAAGTTTTCTGCCATTTTATAAAGCAAATGCTCATACCCTCTTTCGTCAGCAACTAGAAATTCTCTTTCTCCAAAATCCACATATGTTGATATTGGCTCGACCTCTGTAAAATTCAAAACAATAATTTCACATTTTTCAATCCCAGAATTCTTGAAAAAGAAAAATCACTTTACTGTTCAAATACTAAGGAAAAAAGGGGCAAAAATGATATAATGAAAATTGAAAAATTGACCTGCCATTTCAAAGTCGTGGAGAATGAAGTCAATCGCCAGCTCTATCGGTGTTTTTGGAGTACTGCAACAAAATCGAGAGTGACAATAAAATATTATTGCGAAAATTCTGTAAAAAAAAGAAAGAACCGAAAACAGAGTGTTATGTAAGTGGTAAATCATACGACGGCGTTTCAGGAGAGGATTCATGGTTGTTGTTTCCTTCTTGGCTTCTGAGTTTTTGAATTGCCGAGTCCACCGCTTTCTTGTACGAGTCCGCCGCTATTCCACTCGGAAATATCTTCCCACTTTAATTTGTAATGCAACAAAAACAAAAATTAAACAAAATCAATATCAATTAAAAAAAAAACACAAAACCATCATTATCACCCCAAGGACATCATCATTAAGTACACCAATACACACATAATATAAACTTATACTTCAAATAAATTCAATTTAAACATTTTACAGTTAAAATAAAATATATTTTTTACCATTACGAACCTGTGATCATAGATATTGTAACGGGCATTACTGTAATCAGAGAAGCAAGTACGGAGATTAGACTGAAGGGCAAGTTCCCAGACAGGATTAGACTGTTTACCACCGACGCCGGCGATCCAACCGGCGCCGAGTTCCACCGTTACTCCGCTGAATTCCTCCTTCCTTATCCTGCCACCTATCTGATCAGACGCTTCCAATATCATCACATCATCCATCCCATTCTCCGATAACACCTTCGCCGCCGTTAAACCTACAGAAATCAACAAATATTATTATTCACATCGCACTTTGTATTTGAATGCAGAAACATGGTTATAAATTTGAAGAAAGAGATCCAGAATTTGAATTACCTGAGATGCCGGCTCCGACTATGACGACAGAGCAGCGACGGGGAGTTGCCATAAAAGAGGCCGAGGGGAGGTGGGGTGGGGTTGGAGGTGTGGGGGAGAAGCAGAGAGTTAAAGGAGTCTTGAATGAGTATATAAGTGAGTCTGCAATAGGAGAAGAAATAGCGGGAGTCGGTTTTTATAGTTGGTTTCAACCGCTTATTGGGGAAACACAACTCTCTCTTTCCTTTATTTACTGTTATTATTATCACTAAGGATTAACGTAATTGTGTATAATTATCTATTTGGGAATGAGAGTTTTTCTTTTTTAGAAATAAATTATTCAGTTTTTTTATCGTCTCTAAATTTTAATCTTTATTTACTTTATTATTCACTAGGCTATAATATAATGCTACTAGAATCTTATGTCGGGTCATCGGGTCAGTTTGTACATATTATTAGGTTTCCATTGACACATATATTAAGACATGGACATATGACAAGAAAGTAGGAGTATCTTATAATTTTTGTCGTCTCTATAATTTAAACCTGGAACTTAATTATTCCTAATTTACTTTGTTGACAAAGATAAGAATTTGTCGTGGACTGAATTTCATATTTTTCTCTATCATCACTTGAAATCAAGAATTTTCTTTTAACTAGAAGAGTATAAAGTGAGACTATTTGTGAATTGAGACACGTGCTTTTCACTCATCGTCATCCGTAATAAGAAGGACCCGAAAAATATTACTCCCTCCGGTCTAAAATAAGTAAATTTTTTTATTATTTTCACACATATTAAGAAATTTATCTTTTAATATTAATATTTTAGGTAAACATGTGTATTTTTAAGAGTAACTTCGCTATGCTCTCAATCATAATTTCTATAATTTTCTGGGTCCAATAATCAGATTCCTGATTTACTTAGTTGATGTCACTCTTTAGTTTCCTCTTCCATCTGGTCAACCTTTATGTAAGCTTAAGCTATCTTCCGATCTGCGGTTTATGGTATTAGTTATTACTTTGGCCTTTCATGGACGCTATGGAATGTCCATGATATAATCTTCTAACAATTTAATCCTTTGTCTATGACCTAGACTAAATTCTTTCTTTTAAATTATATCGGAGTCTTCTACGGCTGAATGATTGTCAACACATATATTGCATGGATAATAGTCCGAAATATTAAGTGTATTCATAAAGTAACTAAGTGCCCGTTTGGATTGACTTATTTTAAGTGCTTTTAAGCCAAAATAACTTTTAAGCTCTTTTGTAGTGTTTGGATAGAGTAAAAAAGTGCTTTTAAGCCCTTGTTTTTAAGTTAAAATGACAAAAACAAGCCAAAAGCTAGAATTTCTAACTTATGGCTTAAAAGCTATTTTGACTTAAAATCCACTTAAAATAAGCCCATCCAAACGAGCTCTAACTCTGGATCATTGATTGAATAATTCCTTTTGTTCCTTCTCAGCTTTCTATAAATGTAAGCTATTGTTTTTCCTGGTCTTTGAGCCCCTTGTTGTGTGTATACTTAGCTTACCTTAGTTCCCACGCATGCCGGAATTTTCGTGCAACTCATATGATCTCGAATATTACTTTTGATTTTATTTCCCGTTCATTAGCCACGATAGGTGCCACTTTCTTATGGAGTGCATATAATGTTGTAGTGAGACTGTTGTTACAAAACCATTTCTTCTTCAAGTTACTATGCTTAGGTTGAAGCCTTCTTCCTTATTTCCTTAGCTAATCTTTTGTTGTAGTACTTGGGGGACACTCTCTGACTTTTGTGACAATGTGCATGTATAATTGAATGCAATACATCTGGTCATGGGACAATGTGCATGTATAACTGAATGCAATGCATAAGAAGTGAGTTAATAAAGTTTCTTGGTATGTCTTAAGATCATTACGCCTTTGATTAATATCATGAAATAAACTTTATCAACTTACGTATTTTCTGAGACCCATGAACATACGATAAAATAATAGGACATATGAGGAATCAAGAACATAGGCACCCCTAATGCTTCTATTAATAGACGCATTTATGAAAGTTGTGCATTTACTCATTTTGTTTGTGTCGTATGGATCATGTCAAAAGGAACGAAGGGATAGCCTTACCATACCTGAATCGATTCTCTTGACAATCCCTCTAACACAAGTCTTTTGCAAAAAATAAATAACGGCGGATTGAAGTAGGAAAAAATTCGTATGATATTCTTGAGAAAAATTGTACCATGCTCTCTTAGAATTGCATTTCGCACTGTTATTACATGATACAATCTCGTATGAATTACTGAAGCTCCCCTTCATTTCATTGTAGAGATGCAAGCATCTCTCTTAAGTGATTTTGAGAGGCTTTTAATCTTGGTTGGTGTGAGCCTACTTATGATGATGACTTGGCCACAAATCTCTTTAATTGTGCCACCTTGCTACAGGTGTAAGAGTCACTTATTTGGGCTATAATCCACACTTAATTGTTGCCACGTTGGGGGCTTATCCAAATAACTTAATTACTTAGTTAATCTCTTACTAAAATCCATAATTGTCCAATTTTCTACATAATTAAGATTTATCTCAAATTACTTAAAATACTACTCACTTTTAACACACTTTATATACCTTACTATCATGATCATGTGGTACTTTGTATGACACTAGTCCATAAATATGGGGTATTATAGTTTGGACCGTATTTTATCTCAAAATGTCAAACTTCGTCAAAACTCATTTTCTTTGATTCGCTTACCATTTCACCTTCACGAATTTGCTTATCCCTTATTTGAAATAACATAATACTTATAACCTCAAAATAATCTTGTCCTTGAACTGATTTCAATTATCTTATGACAAATCCAACGTACAATATTATGGAGTGTAACATCGACATAATCTTGTGAGGTGTAACAGTCTAACCACCACTTTGTAAAACTTACCTTTGAGTATCGGTGACACTCTTTTGTCACACAGGACTCCAGATGCTAACCTCCACTTCATCCACTGCACCCCAATATGTGCGATATCTTCGTCGATCTCCCCTCCCATTTCGATAACCGACCCAAAGTACTTGAAATTGTCACTACTTGGGATGACATGTGATTCAAGCCTTACTTCCACGCCAACTTCCCTCGACTTAGCGCTGAACTTACATTTCAGGTATTCCGTCTTCGTCCTGCTCAACCTGAAGCCCGTAGACTCAAGAGCCTGCCTCCAGACCCCCAATCTCTCGTTAACACTAGTTCACGACTCATCAATCAAAACTATGTCATCAGCGAANATATATATCAATGATTTCATTAATCGACACTCAAAATTCAAAAACTATTTGAAATCAATTATGTAATATTTAAAATCCATCCAAATTAGCAGTAAATTTAAAAAAGAAGTTATAAAGAATTTCTCTACTAGTAGTTAAGTTAATATCATAATCTGAAATAAGATATGCCGACATTTGGATTATAAATATAGCACTTAAGGTATAAAAAAGAAAAAAGAAAAAAAGAGAGAGAGAATTAGAGTATTGTAATATAAAAGAATATCCCTCTAGTATATATCAATATCAACAAGGTAGATTGAACTAATGTGCCAACTTACCCCTTCAAAAAAGAAAGAATTAAACGCACATATTTAAACTTGTTAAAAATCTAATTTTTACTATTCAAATAGAATTGATTTATTGAACCAATATTTGAGTTACAATTACTGATTCGAAAATTAACTTAAAAGTTTGGGCAATCTTTTTTTAAAAATTAAATAGTAATTTCGAGAATCTATTGGAGTTGGATGTTGAAATTTAGCCTTGAATTGGTCATTCAAAAATAGCCAGTGTTTGCAAAGTCATTGAAAAATAGCCACTATTTTGCTCCAACACGGAAAGTTTCAGCATAATATACTAGAGATCGGTGCACTTGTGTATGAACTTACAGCATATTATGCTGGAATTCCAACACGCAGAAAGTTCCAGTATATTATACTGGAATTATACTGGAGTTCCAGTATACTTATGCTGGAACTTCAGTATAATATAATGGAGTTCCAGTACATTGTATTGGAATTCCAGTATATAATACTAAAGTATTTTCCCCTATTTTGAATAGTGTTTTCGTTCAGATTTATCTTGACATAAAAAGTGACTAAATTTCGATTACTTTTGAAACTGTGACTATTTTTGAATAACCACTTATAAATCTAGCTATTTTTGAATTTCTCCCGAAATTTTCTCTTAAAAAATGCTTATTATAACCAGTTTTCAAGATGACGATCCATTTCCCACTGCCCGTTGTAGAGAAGTCTTAAATAGTAAACTCCAAGCTAATTAATTAACTAAATTTTGAACAAAACTCCTTCAATACTGCAAATTCACCACTTAGATTGATTGTCCGTCTTGCATTCACTCAACTTGCAATTGGCCACGAATATACTCCCTTCATTCATTTTTACGCGTTCATTGTTGACTTTGCACACCTCTTAAGAAATAATAAATGAAGTGCATAATTTACCATGATATTCATATTAATTGATGCATATTTTTAATGGATTTGAGAAAATAATTTGAAGTGAGTAATTAATACTGTGGGTATAACAGGAAAAAAATTGTTCTTTCTTGATATGCGAAAATTGACAAGTAAAAGTGAAAATATATTTGTAAAATATTGGACAAGTAAAGTGAACGGGAGAGTAACTTTCGTATAGTTACTCCAAAAGTGATGAAATCAAATCACTTTGACTAGTAAAACTACATGCTCCCTATGGTCCACAATAAGGAATTAATTTTATTTTTTCAAAATTTACCCATAAAGGAAAATTCTATATAGACTGGGACTGGGTCACTATCCCGAAAAATATACGAATCTCTCCAACAAGTTGGGGCTTAACACCATAAAGGAAAAGTATATATAGACTGGGACTGGGTCACCAGCCCGAAAAACATACGAGCCTCTCCAACATGCAGACAGAACACAAGTGCGTGAAACTCACCCATGCACTCGCCAAAGCAACTATGCGATGATACAACTAGCCAAAATTTGATCTCGTCCATACATTAAGACGACCTGAAGCTTAAGCAAGTCATTCATCGCCCCGCCTATCGACTACTCCTCTAGGCCGAGCGATGCAGGGACTAGATAGACTAGGACTCCTCGAATGCATGTACGGATCGAACAGAAACATATAATATTCTCCATTGAATA